CTTTGCCTCAGTGTGGCGGGATCAGATTGGGTGCAATTCCCACACTGTGTCTCTGGTGTTGTTTAATGACCTTTTTCTTCATGTACACCGTCCAACAATTCCTCTGGTTTGGGGTCATAAAGGTCCAAGGCAACAACTCTCTACTTGAGATGGTTTCTAATTTCAGGTTGTCTCCCATGGAGCGGCTGATGGGCTCGAACCTCGGACCTTGCGTAGCATCTCCACGCATAGCCCTCTATGCCACAGGACCCCCGTGATCATGTTAGGTTCGTACTCGGTGATCGGATGTCCACCACCAGGGGGCGCCAGAGAAAAAGCAGCCAGCCCCCCTCGCGCTGGGCTTCGCGCTGGAGGTAGCTTGGTCCTCACGACGTCCCGTCGCGCGGCGGTTGCTGGAACGACGAGCCGGGAAACTGTCGGCGTCGGCGCCGCGCCGCCTGCCACGGGATTGCCCGCCTTGCAGAACTTTGGACTGGGAGTCTCTCGGGAAACCCCGGAACCCAGAGAAACGTGAGTCGGAAGGTTGAGCCGGCCTGGGAGCCGTCCTCGGGGTGGACATGGGGACACGAGGACTGAGCGCCCGCGTTCCCGCCGGCACGGAGCTGCAAAGGCGTTCTGCCTCTGCCCACTGTCATCCCGGGGGGCTGGCTGGTAGCGGATCCGGGAGAGTTGAGCTTCTCAAGTCTTTGTTCAAAGATGTATTCCGTCGAGTCGATGCCGACTCGTGGCGACCCTATAGGACAGGGTGGACCCGCCCCTGTGGGTCTGAGACTCACTCTTTACGGGCGCAGAGCGCCCACTCTTCCTCGCGAGAAAGGGCTTGTGAGGAGCTGTCCAACAGGTGGCCCACGACACCACCAGCGCCCCTAAGAACTGGTCCAGAGACGCCGCTTATTGTCCTGCCCGTCCTCCAGGATGGAGTTAGGAACTTAACGGGCTTGGGGCGCCATCCCACATTCAGCCCGAGGTAGATCCCGCATTCAGGGACAGGGGTGAGGCAGGGAGAAAGCCGGCCAGCCCAGAGTGAGACTGCTTAGCTTTCTCGCCCCAGCTGTGTCCCCAGATTGCCCTGCGACCAATTGAGTCCCTTCTCCAGACCCCAGTTTCTCCGTCGGAGAGACCAGGGACCTGCCCTCCACAGTGGCAGCTTCAATGCCTAGCCTGTCAGTTGACAGGGCCTGGACTCGAGGCTCCCACCCACGTAATTTAGCATCCCGTCCCATTTATTTCCTCCCTTTCGTGGCCCTGTGTTCCTGGAGCTGTCATGTCACCTCTTTGGATGTAAGTTTCCTCATCTGCGGAATATTTGGGGGTGGGGTGGGGGTAAGAATGAGAATGACCATCGATGTCCCTTAAATGCTTGTCCCTGTCGCTTTCTGCAGGGCCTCCAACTCCCCAGCTTTGCTAGGAGCAGTTCCCGTCTCTGTCCTCATGGCCAACAGCAGGGCAGCCCAGATTTATCTAAAGCGCCCACCTACAGTGCTTGCTGACAGCAAATCTCCTTTTCAATGCTGTTGCGTGTGCCCCACTCTGAGGGGTTCTGAGTTTAATTGGTCTGGTCCTTTTAAAAAGGTCCGCCAAGGGATTCTGCTGCGCAGCCAGGGTGGAAAGGTTTGGGGAGGAGCTTGGGTGATGCCCAGTGGCCGTCGGGCTCACTCTCCTGCTCTTGCTGCCCTTCGCAGATGGCTCTGCCCTCCTACTGGTGCAGCCGGCGGCTCCTGGGTGAGCAGCTAGCCAGGCAGCGAGAGCAGGAAGCCCGGCTCCGGCAGCAGTGGGACCAGAACCGCCGCTACTTCCAGCTGTCTGACATCTGCACCTCCAAGCAGGCCGAGTGGAGCTCCCAGACCTCCTACCAGCGGAGGTGACTGTCCCCGAGGAGGTGGAGTGGGGAGGGACCCTGGCCTGACAGCCCATCTCCTGGAGGGATGTGCTGAACAGCACAGGTTTGCTTGTGTGAGGCGATGCCTTCCCAAATGAAAATGAAAACAAATAAATCGTACACTTACATGGTAAGCATGAGAAAACGTCCAGACGTTTTTGCAGTGGAACTTGAAAGTCTCCTTGTCACTCCGTGTCTCCACACTGTGTATGAACACACACGCTCAGACGAGAACTAGCTTTGCGGAGACACCAGTAAAAACAGTCATTCACTGGTTAGCCTTTGGAGCCCCACAGATCAGGGCAGACACCCCGTCACCTGCTGCGTGAGTGAGCCTCAGTGTTCTCATCACTGAAGTCGGGCTAAGGCCGAATCTACTCTGTGGGGTGTGGGTTAGCTCATATAATGCCATTCACATACACGCGCTCACTCTCTGATAACTAATATAACGCTATTCACATAAATACACTCTGATAGTAATATAATGTCATTCACATAAATCTGTTTAATTGGTCGCTATTCATATAAATAAGCTTGCTGACAGTTAATATAATGTCTTCATATAAATAAACGTATGTGCACGCATGTACACACACACATAAACTAATTGGCATTGAATGGGCACTCCGACGAATGGTGACCACGTGTATGTAAAGCTTACAACTGTGCCCTATCGGGTTTTTGTGTCTTTCCTTTTTTTTTTAAGTTTGATTGACATAATTTACATATCATACAATTTAATGGTTTAAACCTTTTAAACAGAATTGTACAGTCAGTCATCACCATTATCAGTTTTAGAACAGCTTATTCATTGCTCACCTCCTTGTTAATAGCTCCCCATCCATCAGGTTTTCAATGGATGATCTTTCAGAAATAGATGACCAGGCCTTTCTTCTGAGGTACCGGTAGACGTACTTGACCCTCTAACCTTTTAGTAGGCAGCCAAAAGGACTAACCTATTGTATCACACAAGGACTCCCGTGTATATGCATAGATACATGGACTTACACACATGTATATTATAGCCCCTGACACATGGTTTTTTGTTTGTTATAAGTAGTTGATACTATTACATGAGGAGCCCTGGTGGCGTAGTGGGTTACATTTTGGGCTGCTCACCACTAAGTCAACAGTTCGAAACTACCAGTGCTCTGTAGGCAGAAAATGAGGCTGTCTGCTCCTGTAAAGATTTACAGCTGGATATGTGGGTTAAGTGCTAGTAAAACTATTTTTTTTAAATGATGTACAGTCTGGAACCACAGGGGCAGTTCTACTCTGTATAGTCAGAATGGGTCAGAATGACTTGATGGCATGTTGGGTTTGGTTAACCCAGTCCCATGCCATTGAGTCGATTGTGACCCTACCTATGTCAGGTTTCTGAGACCTTTATGGGAGCAGACAGCCTCATCTTTCTCCCTCAGAGTGGCTGGTGGGTTTGAACTGTTGGCCTCGAGGTTAACAGCTCAACCGGTAACGGACTGTGCCATCAGGTTTCTTGATGTTGAAACAGGCTGTTAAAGGTATCACCACATGAGACCTGCCCAGCCACCAGCGGTCCACCGTGTGTGTGTGTGTGTGTGTGTGTGTGTGTGTGTGTTTCAGGTAGTGTATTGGTACCCCTTCTGTGTGTGTGTGTATGTGTTTCAGGTAGTGTATTGGTGCCCCTTCTCTGTGTGTGTGCATGTGTGTGTGTTTCAGGTAGTGTATTGGTGCCCCTTCTCGCCCAGCATGCATGCCTATCAGCGGGAGAAGCTGCAGGAGGAGAAGAGGCGGAGCCTGGAGGCCCGACGCGAGAGGCTCCGGCAGCTGGTCCTGGAGGAGCAGGAGCTGCTGGCCCAGGAGCTGGAGAAACTGAGGCTGAGCATGAACCTGCGGGAGCAGAGAATCCAGGAGCGGCACAGGGACCTGAAGTCGGCCAGAGAGGAGCAGAGGAAGCTGGTGACTCCCCTCCTACCTCCCCCTACCCCCCCCACCCAACCCCCACACCCAGCCAGTGGGTGCACATGGGCACCCTCAGGCCAGGAAGAGCTCTCAGTCCTTAGTCAGCAGTGGGTTTGTGTTAGCTACCTCTATCATCCACGGCCTCCTGAAGGATTCGGTCAGAACCTTGCTCTTTGCGCTGGTTCTGTGGTCCCATAGGGTCTGGGGGTAGCGTCTTTCCCCTTCCACAGTAGCTGGGGGCACGGAGAGCCGTGGTCTGCCTTGTAGTTTCACCCTGGATGGTGCCCTGCCCCAAGCTCAGCTGCTCACCTGAAGGTCGGAGGAGGGCTGCGCCCGCTCAGCAATACCTCAGAAGAAAGGGCTGGTGATCCCAACACCCTCATGAGGCACAGCTACACTCTGGGCTCAGTGGCAGCTTTCGATTTCGTTAAATAGATGTTGGTCCCTGATGTTGCCACTGTCAGAGCCCTTTGCTCTCTGTCTCTGGTCGGGCGTCTGGCCTGGGTCTCAGGGTGGTGGGTGCCAGGCCAGGTGCAGTGAGCATGTGAGCGGGAGGAGCACTGAGCCCTGGCTGCCAGGGACAGAACTGGAATCAAGGGGCGATGCCCACAGCTTCCTCTCCCCCTCGCTGTGCTTCCTGGGCAGATTGCTGAGCAGCTTCTATATGAACACTGGAAACAGAACCAGCCTAAACTGCGAGAGGTGAGCCCCAGCGCCTTCCCCGAGCAGACATCTGCACACATGTGCTGGCACAGGGGACCCAGCCGAGCAGCTCCTGTGGGAAGAGACAGAGTCCCTGCTTTTAAGGAGACTCCCGGCCGGCTGCAGGGAGGATGTTGGGTGGGGGGCCAGCCAGGGAGCTGGCGCTGGGGGACAGTGTCACCCGCTCAGTGAGGGCCTGGAAGGCAGCTCGCTGTCCCTCTGTTAGTGGAAGCCACCAGGGAACTCCCATTCCCCCTCCTGTCCATAGATTGAGCTGGACCTTCACAAGAAGCACGTGATCGACTCCTGGGAGACCCAGAGAGAAGAAAAAAAACAGGTATGGTAGCCCAGTGGGGAAGGCAGGGGGGCGCACAGGCCCTGGGGCCATGCTGGGAGACAGTCTCCACCTCTTCAAATTTGCCGCGTGTTTTCCGTGCAAGGGGTCTGAGACAGGAAGAGCCCATCTCCCAGTGACTGTCCTCGTGTTAAAGGAGAACGTTGGCTCCTGCAGGGTCTAGGGTCCTCAGAGAGCATCCCCAGGGGCAGGACTAGGCCAGGTGGTTAGGGCTGGCAGACCTCCATGGGAGCATCTACCTTGAAAGGCCTCTTTATCACTTGATATAACTGCAGCATAAGCTCTCAATCTTGGCTATGGCGGCACCTCCGGGTAAATGTCCACTCATTCACCTGCCCTGGGTTCGTTCGGGGACCCTGTGGTTGGATTGGAAGGGGGCAGAGACCTGGAATCCCCCAGCCAGGTGCTAGCTGAGTAGAGGATTGGAGCCTAAGAGGCCGCCCCTGCTGCCAGAACCACACAAGTGCCTTGTGGGGAAGAGTGGGCATCTGGGGCCTGCTGGGGAGGTGCCACGGACTGCAGAGCCTCACCTCCCGGGTCCGTGTGGCCCCTTGTAGCAAGAAGCCAGAGCAGAGGAAGAGGAAGCGCGGTTTGAGAACGAGTATGAGCTGGCGAGGAGGGAGGCGATGGAAAGGCTGAGAGCGGAGGAGGAGCGGAGGCAGCGGGAGAAGGAGCGGCAGGCTGAGGCACTACGGCAGCAGATGGAGGAGCTGAAGGCGAAGGAGGTGGAGGTGAGCACTGGCCCAGGCCACCCCGTCCTGAGGAGAGACCGTGAGGAGAGTGTGGACAAACCGCATCACGGTCTGGGGCCTCTCTGCCCTCCTGATTGCCCGTCCTGGGTGTCCCGTGTCCCCAGATTCTAGGATGTGCATGACTCACTCAATCCATGTCCTCCAGAGTGTTTAGAGACCCGCGTTCCCAGAGCTGTGGTCAGGCTTGGTGTTCCCATGTGCTGAGTCGTCCTGACCCAGGCTGATGGTGTCAGCCCACAGCTCTCTGTGGGCCGAAGGTCTAGGGGCTCAGGCTTTAGCCCGTTGTGCATGGAAACTATGGAGCAAGGGTCTCCCCACTCGGAGCAGCCAGCCCCCTGGTCTCATTAGGTCCCTCTGGCTGACTGGGTCCATGAGCAAGTGGTTAGAGTTCCCTGCGTGCAGGACCAGGGTGTGTTGACAGTAGGGTCGTTGTAAGATGAGTCGGGGTGGACTCCAGAGCCCCGAACAGCAGCAGTGCCGCAGTGAGCAAGGCCCACAGCCCACACCCACGTGGCGGGCGAGTGTCGGGCGGGGGGACCACTGCTGAGGTCCTGTGGGGGCGTAGAGCTGCTTGTCTGTGGCATTGGGACAGGCTGGTGGAGGGAAGCGGCTCACTGAGGTGGGACAGGCGAGCCAGCGGAGCTGGGCAGAGGGGCTGAGTCCCAGAGGTGGCGAGCATGCAGGCCCCTCGGCTGCCCTCCTCTGAGCTGGCTTCTGTCCGTGTGAACGCGCAGGCGGGCGAGCTGAAGAAGGAGCAGGAGCACCTGCTGAGGCAGCGCTGGGAGCTGGAGAAGCTGGAGGAGGACAGGATGCAGAGGGCAGCCTCGAGGCAGAAGGCGGAGCTGGGGTGTGTGAGGCGGCTCCTCCTGGGGAGCGGGACGGCTGGCTGGCTGGCATGGGCTCCTCACCACTTTCCCAGCCTGGTAGCTGGGGCCCGGTGCCCTCCGGCAGGCGTCCCGTCA